ACTGGGACTGGGACTGGGACCGGCGCTACTGGGACTGGGGCCAGCCTTATTGGGAATGGGGCCAGCGTTGCTGGGATTGGGGCCGCCGCTATTGGAATTGGCGCCAGTGCCACTTGGACTGGGACTGTGGCCAGCGCTGTTGTGCCTGGGGCCAGCGCTACTGGGACCGGGGCCAGCGCCGCTGGGACTGGGGCCAGCGCTATTGGTGCTGGGACCAGCGCCACTGGAACAGCGACTGGCATCCCCTTTGGACCCCGGGAAGTCGCGTCGGCGCTGGCGCGGTCCTGCCGCGCGCATTCTTTGGAGCGCGCCGCGCCCGCGTGGGACTTCGCGTCGGCGCAGCCCAGTTTCGCGCGCGTTAGCGCGGCGCGCTCGGCGCCGAAGCCTCGTCGTCGCGGCCGCGCGCCCGTTGTAGGTCGCGTCGGCGCGTCCGCGCGCGCGGCGTCAATCGATCGCGCCGGCGCGAGCCATGTCTGTCGTTGGCGTTTGTGCGCGGCCGCGCTCGATGCGTAAATCAAGTCGGCGCTGGCGCGGTGCCGCCGCGCGCCGCGGAGCGGGCCGCCGCCCCGCCTTGCTGGCCGCGTCGGGCAAGTTTGCCCGCGCGCGTCGCCGCGGCCGCGCCCTTGTCTGCCAGTTGCGCTGGCGCGGCTGCGCGCGCGTTGGAAAACGTGCTGGGGCGGCCGCGCTGGTTTCGCGCGTCGCGTTGGTCTGGGCGCGCTTGTCGCGGGGTCTCGTCGCCGCAGGCGAGTTGCGTTGCACGCGCCCGCGCGCCTGGGCCCCGCGCCCGCGCTGCGCTCGCGCCGCCGCGCCCGGCGGCGCAAGCGATGTTCATCGCCCGCGCGCCCGCTGGCCCGTGGCCTTTGTGACGAGGGCCTTATCTGGGGCTCGTTTGCTAATTGCGCCGGCGCGGCCGCGCGCGCGTAGTAAATCGCGCGGTCGCTTCCGCTCGGTCGCCGCTTGGGCCGGGAGCGCCCGCTGCGGCCGGGGCTAGAACAGGGGCCGGGGCGAGGGCGAGGGCCGGGGCTGGGGCGAGGCCAGGGGCGGCCGGGGCAAGGGCGAAGCGCCTTGCGCTCGCGGGCGATGCCGGGCGCAGTTTTCCTGCCCAACTTTTCTTGATTTTTTCAAACTGTTTTCAAACTTTCAAATCGGGGCAAACTTGTTTTACATGTTTTGCGAACTTCCAAATCGGGGCACACTGTTTTCACACTTTTTTTCTAACTTTTCTTCAAATTTCCAAATCGGGACAAGTTGTTGTCAAACCTTTATTCCTTATCATACTTCTCTCAAGCTTCCCAAACTGGTCAAGTTTCAAACTATTTTCAAACTTTTTTCCGAACTTGTTTCAGACTCAAGTCCCCCTGGCAAGGCCCCAGTAACGCACTTCCGGCCCGGCCCCTCCCATGTCCGGCGCGCCGGGGCTCATGTGCCGATGGTGCACGCGGGGGTGCCTGTTCTGGCGGCTGGACCCGGCAGTCGACGGGCTCGGGCGAGGTACCGTGCTGGGTGGCGCAGGTGGATGCTACGGCTGTTCAACGGCTGTGGCGCCGGCGGCGATGGCGGCGACGGCGCCGGGCGGCGCTCGCCATCATGGCGGTGGCGCCGCGCCTGCCCACTGGTCGCGGACTTCGCGGGCTCGATCCCGGCCTATGCCGCAGCTGCAGCCCGGGACTGACGCCCCCCGATGCCGACGGCGCCAGCGCAGAGACCTCGACGACGGAGCCCCCATTGGAGAGGATGCGCGTGGAGGTGGACCTGAAGCGTCGACGGACATGGCCCCTGCCGGCGCCCCCTGGCGCTGCCCGTTGCGCGACGATGACAGGAGGAGCTTCGTGGGCCACCTCCCCGTGGCGCTCGACGAGGAGGCTGCCAGCCGCCTCGCGGCGGCCGCCGAGCGGGGCACCGAGTGGAAGCAACTGGATGGCACTTGGGGCCCCGTCCCGCGCAAGACCAGCTGGATGACTTCCTGCCCGTGCAAGTGCGGGCATATCTATGGCGGCCTGCGCAGGCCCATCCCTTCGCGCCGTGGGCGCGCGAGGCGACGAGGCTCTGCGCGCCGCTGCGCGGCCTCCTTGACGAGAAGGACTGGCCGAACAGCTGCAACGTGAACTTTTACGAGAGCGGGGGGCGCTCGGTCGCCCGGCACGCAGACGACGAGAAGCGTTTTCAGGGTAAAGGAGATGACTGCCTCATCATCCTGTTGTCCCCTGGGGCCGCCCGCAACTTCGAGGTGAAGGCCTCCTCCGGGAGGCAGCCGGGCAGAGGCCGTGCGTCTATATTGCGAATGGTCTTCGGCGATCTGTGCACCATGGAGGGCGCGACCAGGCGGCACTACATGCACAGGGTGCCGTTGGAGAGGGGCGTTCGCTGCCCCGGGCCGCGCGTGAACGCCACTTGGAGGTGGATCAAGGTGCGCGAGGAGCGGCGCCCGTCGGCGGACGCAGCCGGGCGCGGCGCAGGCGCCCCAGACGCGCGCCCGCCCAGCACTGACAAGCCCGCGGCCCCCGCCCGGCCTCGGCAGGCCACCGCGTTACCTGCTGACGCCGTGGCCCCGGCGGCCTCCCCCGCGGGCAGCGAGCGGTGCATCGCGGAGGTCCGCATCCGCATCTTTCAACTCGGCATGCCTTACAAATCAGCGCCGCAGCGCAAAGCAGCGCCGCTCATCTTCGAAACACCACCGAAGCCCGAGCAGCACTTCGCCCATGCATTCGACGGCAACAGCGACGCGCGGCATGCACGCGACGACGCCGTTGCCTTTGGGGCGATGCGACGACCGCCGACGCATGCACCCGCAAGTCAAGCATGTAGACGGGACTTGCCGCGACGTCCACGACAAGTTCTACCTCGCAGCCGAATACCGCGGAGCATCAATGGCTAACGTCTTCCTCCCCACCCCAGCCTTTTCTCGTTCTGCCGCAGTCGCCACGCGCCCCGCGCGCATGCTGCCTCACCAGACGGAGGCCTCACCGCCAGCAGCCTGGCTACCTTTCGTGCCGCTCTTGCTGTCGCCCTCGCCTGTCCACTTGCTGTCACCTCCTCTCCCCGCCTTCATTTGGGTCTACTATCCTAGACAGGAGAGCCCGCTTGGGCCCCCCTTTCCACTCTCTGGGGCCGTGCCCCACCGACCGATGCGGACAGCAGTCGCCCTGCGCTTCCCTTGATTGCTTAGGGTTTTTGCTGTCCTCTCTCTCGGTTGCATGCGGCCCCTGCCCCCCCGCCCCTTCCCCGCCGTTGTTGCTTGCGTAGCGTTGCACTTCGGCGCCCCCTCGTTTCTGCTTGAACGTGGGCTCTCTGCGCCGCCCATGCCCGAGACCCAGCTTAGAGCCCGCGTCAGTGCGACATCAACCTCTTCCAGGGCGTCGGGGGAGGGGGGGGGGGGGGGCGGTGGGGGGCGCCGAGGGGGCGGCGGTGATGCTCGGTGCTATGTTCCAGCAATTTCAGTGCTTTTGCACCCAACCACCCACAGCAGCATTGTCGCAGCTATCTCCATGCCGTACCTCTTGCGCTGCAGCAACTCGCTGCAGCTTTTTACTTGGCCTTCTGCGACACATCGGCCTGCTGAGTTCACTGCGCCAGCCCGCTGGGTCCGGGGGGTGCGGCGGGCGGCGCGGCGGCGGATGGCGGGTGGTGGGGTGGGGTGGGGGGTGGGGGTGGGGGGGGGGGGGGGCTGCGCTGCCCGCTGCTGCATTCCAGCCAGCATCAGTGCCTTTGCGCCTGGCCACCCAAAGTTACGTGCCGTTGTAGTCCAGCAGTTTTCAGCGCACGTGCATCCTGCTACCCGCAGTGACATTGCCAGGTCCTTCCCCTTTCGGTACCTCTTGCGCTGCTGCCCATCAAGTTTGCTCACTATCTTGCCTTGCTCCAACATGAAGGCCGGCAAAATTTCTGCACCAGCCTGCTGCAGTATGTTTTGCCTTGCAACAGATGACTGAATTGCTAGTCGCTGCACGCGCCTGCCTTGTTCAGTTCTGCGTGCCCGATCACAGTTGGCAGCGATTACCTGAAACTGTGGATGGGGGCTCAGGCATGATTGAATTTGAGTCAGAAGCATGTGGTCATCGGGCGGGGGGCCTCCCACTCAGGTAATTGCTGACCTCTTCCATTTGGCGGGCGCCTACCACTTCAACTACTCTTTGCCGCTTCACTTGTATTCCCGCGGCGCCCGCCAGGTACCTTTAGCGTCAAGTCGGACAGCTTTTTCGTTTCGTTTTCGCCATTTTGGTGTCATGGTTTGCATCTCTTTTTATATTCAAAACGGGAAGGAAGGAGGAGGAGGGTGAGGGAGAGGGAGAAGTGTGAATCATGCCCCGCAGTATCCGTAGAGTCGCTCATGCAATGACGATTTCTGGAGATAACATCTGAGGATCAGTTCAGGCAGGGGCCAAGTAGAGGAATCGACGGAAGGCTCTTGAAGGGCAGGCTTGCCCGCTTTTCTTCAATTGATTTTTGTTGGCCCTTTTCTCCCCTTTTCCTGCCCCTCCCCCCTCCCCCCCTCCCCCCCCCTCCCACTCGCGCGCGCGGGAGTGCGCGAATGACAGGGTGGAGGGCGCCAGGTTGGTGGCGAACCGAGTGAACCGAGGCTCGTGTTGGCGTTTTCCCCGAAACGACACCGTTTTTCTGTGATAGGGGGGGGGGTGCGCAAAGGGGGGGGGGGCAGGGGGGGGTATTCTTATCACGGCCCACGTCGCGGAGCAGGAGGAGTAGGAAGAGGTTTGTGTACGGATGTTGTTGGTTTCGTTTGCCTTGCAGGCTGTTTTGTCCGCGTGCACGGTCGCAATTTGCATCGACAGAAAATGAGGAGGAACACAGGAGTAATAAGAGGAGGAGGAGGACGACGATAAGGAGGAAGAGGGGGAGAGCGAGGAGGAGGAGGATGACGAAGAGCAGGAGGAGGAGGAGGAGGAGGAGGAGGAGGAGGAGGAGGAGGAGGAAGAATAATGGAGACTGAGGAGGAAAGCGGCTCGCGATTCAAACGCTCGGATTAGCGGGGGGGGACTGCCGAGGCGATAAGCAGGGTCGCTTCCCTCCCCGCGATCAGCGCCCGCCAGCAGGACAGTAGTTTGCGCCGCCGCCGCCGCCGCCGTCGCCGCCGTCGTCGTCGTCGTCTCTGTCGTCATCTTCGTCGTCGTCTCTGTCGTCGTCGTCGTCGTCGTCGTCGTCGTCGTCGTCGTCGTCGTCTGTCGAGGCTCGAGGACCGAGATTCTCAGACGAAGTCTGCGTTTCCAGAGACTCCCGCGGGGACCCCACTGGGTATCCAGAGAAAGGCTGGGGCGGGACCTTGGCTGGTCGATGGAGGGAGTTGCTCCTGTCACACATGTGCCGCGCTCTCCGTCCCCAGCCTTCATGGCCTGTTTGTCAATGGGGGGAACCCACCACGAGCCCATAACTGGCGTTAAACAACAGCCCTACCTTGTTAGATTCCTTGGAGTGTTCAGAGGGGTGTTCTCCCGTCCTCTTACCCTGGCATGAGGGACGCGGGTCCTGATGGGGGCTTGCGCCTCGCTTGATCTCGCTTGGGAGCCCGAGCGCGGCGAAAGCCCTTCACGGCCCCACTTCCTCCGGGGCCACTCCTCTTCGTGGCCCCGCCCCACGGGTGCCGCGCATCTGGTCTCGGGGGCACTGGCCCCAAGGTGGGCCCAACTGGCGAATCCATCCAGGAGCCGGCATACTTCTTTTGCTCAGGAGCTGTCCACCTCGATCTTCCATCTTCCTCCATCTACTTCCCCCTCCCTCCCTCTTGCCCTATCCCCCCTCTCTCCGAGCCCCCGATCCTCGCCCCCCCGAATCTCGCCCCTCCCCCATGGTGGAGGACGCGGACGACCTCGCCAGGGCGTCCCGGCGCTCCGAAATCCGCTGCCGCCTGGCCCGCGAGAGGCGCCGGCGGCTTGGCCTCCGGAGCGAGGCTGATCTCCTGCGGGAGCAGCTCGAGTGCTTCGCAGAGGCTCGCGGGGCGGGAGACGTGTCCGCTGCCCAGCGCGTTGGGTGGTGGGGGGGGTGAGGCGGGCTCCAGGGCGGGAGACGTGGCCACCATTGTCCAACGCTTGGGGCGGGAGACGCGTCCACGCCTTTCTCGGCGGGTTTCCGGCCTCGGGCCTCGTGGTGCCTTTCGGCGGCTGCCCGAATCGCCCTGAACAGCCGCCGGAGAGCCGATTTATGAGTAGAGGATCGGAGGGATCAGCGTGAGGGGAGGACAGGGTTAGGTGGGGACGCGTCGACCCCGATCGCCCATTCATCACCGAAACGGGCCTGAAAGCCCACCCCGCCCAGGATCGCTCGGTTCGGCTCTCGAGGGCCTGTCGTCCATCTATTTGTGGTGTATCGTTGTCTCCAGCTCGATGCTTCCCGACGTCAAGATTCTTCCAATGCGGAGTCGCCAGAGCTCTCGATCCGTTCCCCGGGCCTAGTTTTTCGCGCCGCCTTGTCGTTTGACAGTCCTGGGTCTCGAGAGCGGCCATGGGAGACCGAAATCTGGAACGAAAGGTGCAATGGCTGGTGAAAGACGTCAGAGGTCTGGGGAGCTTGCAGGGTCGTGGCAGGAGCCTGGGAGCCCCGCGGACAGGCGGCATCATCGCCAGAGCAACCTCGACAGCAGAGCCGCCAGTCTGGGCAAGGCTCATCGTCGAGCCCAGCATGGGTACTGCCCAGGATCGGTGCAGGTGTGCTGCTTGCGCCCTCATGCTCATGACATGAGCCTGCCATGCAGTCAGCGCCTGTCAGAGCCAGCCTCGCGGGTGAGCCTGTGAAGCAAGGCGCCCTTTCGTCTTTCGATTCTGGCCGCCCTCCCCGTTGTATGCTTTCTGCTTTCTCGGCCCCAGGGTGCCATTGCGGCATTCTTGGCGTGTTCTAGGCGCTCAGCAGCCTGGCGCTCACCCTTCGGACATATGGTTTGGTCGTGCGTAGCGGGCGCCCTACAAACTGGCGGCGCAAGCGCCGGAGCTTCCCGCCCATGGGTGAGCGTCCAGGATACCCAACGCCTCCCCAGAAGCCTGGACCCTCGACCCCCGAGCCTCTGTCGTGGCAGGAGCCCGCCGTACAGAGGGGGCGCGCATAAAGAAAGCATATATTTTTCGTCAGGGTACCCCAGGTTCTTTCGCTCCGCGCGCTGCGCGGTGGCGTCCCGCTCCGTCACAGGAACTGCTAAGTTCAGGGTGCTCCGTGTTTTCCCTGAGATGCACCTGGCCCGCGGGTTTTCATGGTTGGGTTTCTTGCGAGGGTTTCTTGCGACCGCGCACGCACTGTAGCTTGGCGCCCCCCCCCACGAACAAGGACTGCGGCGGGAGAACACTCACCACCACACACACAACCACACACACACGCACACGCACACGCACACGCAAGCGCATACGCACACGCACACACCCACACCCACACCCACACCCACACCCACACCCACACCCACACCCACACCAACACCAACACCAACACCAAAACCAAAACCAACAACACCACCCATTCAGGTGCAACGATAAGGGGAGATAGGCACAGGGGGAGATAGGCATCGACCCCCCATTGCCCATTGATCGCCGATGGGGGCCCGATAGCCCCAGGCTGCCCAGGTCCGGATGCACTGTTGGAGGCCTATCGCCGATCTATCGGCGATGTATCCCCGATTCCAGGTCGATGTTCCCCCCTATCCCTATCCCCCCCCCCCTATTCATTGCCCCTCATCCACACACGCAATCACACGCCCCATTCCGCTCGCGAGAGAGAGAGCGCTCCAGGGGCGGTCGCCCAAGGCGCACGGCGGACGGCCCCCCAGCCACGGCAGTGGGCCTGCCGCAGCGGGCCTTTCCCTTCCTTGGGATGCAACTCCTGGGAGGTTCGATTCGAGATTGGCGCTGGCTCCTTCCTCCCCCCTCCCTCCCCTCCTCTCCCCCTCCTCTCCTCCCCCCGCCCTCCCCCATGGAGACTGTCGCTTGCAGGTTACCGCGCAGCAGATCACCAAGTATATCAGGATTGGCGCGGGTACATACCTGTCGAAGGCTGGCCTACTGGCCTGATCCCGTGCCACTCTGTTCCGTTTCAGGCGACGTCCGGGAAATCCAGCGAATGAGGCGAACCCGGCGACGAAATCCAAACCGGCGCCCCCGCGTGGGACATCTTCAGAAAAACCGCCCGGGGAGCCTTCCTGTTCCGTTTCAGACGACGTCTGGGAAATCCGGCGAATCCGGCGAATTTGGCGACGAATTCCAAGCTGGCGCCCTCGCGTGGACAAACCGCCCCTGGACCCTCCCGAATGACGCCCTCAGACGCCCGCCTGTTCCGTTTCAGTCGCTTCTGCCCCGGCGTTGGGTTAGGTTGGGCTAGGGCATAGGGGGCTGACGGCGGAGCGGGAGGAACCGCGCGCGCTCGGCGCTTCCACAGAGAGAGCGCGCGCAGGCCGCGGCCCCCCCCCCCCGCGGAACGTGCGCTTTGCGAACGCGGCGAAAGCGCGTGTTATTCTGCTTTCTGCTTGTTTCGGCGGCAGGCGGCCATGGGCCTGCCTCGTGCCGCCCCAGGACGACACCCGCCGGGCGAGGCCGCCGGCGCAGTTGGCGAGGCCGGACCGGCGGACGCGATGCAGCAGCGCGTGGCCCGGGCAGGCTGGGGCACCGCGCGCCAACACCCGCTGGGCCCGCGCCCGGCACCCGGGGCCCACCCCCTCTACAAACGCGGGCGGCCAACCGGCCCGCCGGCTGGGAGCCCCGCCCGGCCCGCCCCCGCCCTGGGTCCGCCTCCCGTGCACGCTGCGCCGCCGCCAACCCAGGGCGCCCTCCCGGCCGCCGCCCACGCTGCACCCCCGCCTGGCTTGGTCCCCCACCAGCCAGCCCGCCCCGACACTGGGACCGCCCGGCGCAAACGCCGCCCCGCCTCCTCGGCCGCACCCAGAAGGCGCCCTCGGCCGGCGCCCAACCAGGGGCGGGGCCCGGGACATCCGCGGCGAGTGGGCTCCTGTCTGAGGCCGCTCGTCCTCCGCTTCACCGACAAACGCAAGCACCTGCTGCAGCGAGTCCTGCCGCGCTGGGACCGGGTCCTGCGCACCGTCGGAGGGAGCACCTGGAAGCTCTCTGAGCGCCTCGGCCCCGACCTCGGGCCGCGCCACCAGGAGCGCGTCTTGCGGCGCTGGTCGGCCCGCACGCTCCTCATCCACGTGGCGAACATCGAAAAGTTCCTCGACTGGGCCTCAGAGGAGCGCCCCGGGGTCGACCACGGCAGCTTCCAGGACCACGAGGCAACGGTCGAGCTCCTCGTAAGGTATGTCATGGACTTGCTGGACGGGGGGGCCGCCCCCACCATGCCCGCAGCACGGCTGCAGTCATTGCGATTCCTCAATCGCGCCGCCGGGCTAGCGCCGCCGCTCCCGGCTGGCGAAGTCTGCGTCCAGCACCTCGCGCTGGCCCACGCACGCGAGGCGCCAGCGTCCGCCAGGCTGCCCGCCATCTACACAGCAGACCAAGTCCGCAGGCTCGAGCGGGCAGCCACGACCTTGCGGAACCCGCTCTACAGGGTGGTTGTCCGCACAGAACTTCGGAAACTGTTCGCCGCACTGCGGAACGACGATGCGGTGTGGGACAAGTTCGGGGAATGGACACAGGAAGGCACCACGGACGCGGGCTGCCTCTACGGCACGGCATACAAGACCAAAGCCACGGAAGCCACGGCGACGCGCCTGCGAGGAGGCATGCCGTGGATCGCCCCCCTGCGAGGCATCTCCCAGCCGCCCTCAGGCTGGGCCCACGGCTATGCATCAGACCTCAGAGCACTTGGCCTTGCAGAGGACGCGGAGTTCGCGGTCCCCTCACCGCAACGCCTCTCCGCGGCAGCGACGCCCGGCGCGGCCGAACCCGACGAGTGGGTAGCAGCCATGCGACGCGCCCTCAGAGCGGCAGGCCTCTCACCACGAGAGGCCAAGGGCATCGGACTGCACTCTGCGAAGCGTACCATCCTCACGTGGGCTGGCAGCAGTGGCATCTTCACCGACCGCGAACTCGAGGTGCTGGGGCATCACCGCTCCGCTGGGGTCGGCAGAGTCGTGTGCGCTTACAACGTCACGGTGTTGGCGGCGCCAGTCTCCAAGCTGCGGACATTGCTCGAACACATCGTGCGAGGCAACTTCAACCCAGACGCGCCAGCCGGAATGCAGTGGCGTGATGGCGCCCAACCTGGCAGCCAGCCCGCGGCACCAGCGCCCGCTGCCGCGCCGTCGCACGCCGAACCCTGCCCACCAGCCAACGCACCCGTGGCCGCGTCAGCCGACGGGCAGGCCGGCACCGGCACCGCGCCGGCGCCGCAGCCCACACCCGCCCGCAGCCAGGCGGCCGCACAGGTTCCCGCAAGCGCAGCAGCCCCCGCGCAGGTGCACGCCCTCCCAGACCACGGCCCGCCAGCCAACGAAGCTGCCCACAGCACCCAGCAACCAGAGGCGGCTGGCGCCTTGGCGATGGGCGCCGCCGCGCCACCGCCCGCAGACGCCACTGCGGCGCCAGGCGCGGCCGCGAACAACCTAGGCGGGTGGCAGCATCCCGTGAGCAAGCTCGGGTACCTCGTAGCCGATTCCACCGGGCTGTGCAAGTCCGTTGCGTACTACCACGCAGCCATCCCCGCAGTGCCGCCCTGCCCGCCCGCAGAGCGGCAGCGCTCGCGCCGGCGCATGGAACGCCTCATCGTCGAGACGCCGAACGGGCCCGTAACGAACCTGTGCGATTTCGCGGTGAACCAGGCGAAGTGGTCCCTGCAGCCGCCGGGCCCCGCGTACGTCATCTGCAAGGTCTGCAATTCCCGCTTGCTTAGCCGAAGGTGAGGGCCCGGGCGAGGGCTAGTGGGCCGACCGTACAAGCGTGGGAGCTGGTCGGCGATGAATTACAAAAGCTCAGGTCCCGCCGGTTGCCCACCTTCCCCCTCCCCCCCCCCCCCGGTTGCAGGTGAGAGGGCGCGGGCCAGAGCCGGCAGCAACTGCAACGG